CTAGACCAGAGAATGTGAGAGGGGGAATGATTTACAATAAGACTGGGGATAGTTTGGGACAAGATTGTGAGAACTTTAAATACCAGCCAGAGGTATGTATTATTTTATTCTAGAGTCAATATGGAGTTGATTAATTTAGAACAAGGGCTCTCAAACTTTATGGTGGTCTGATAAAACTTATAACTCTCTTTTCAGGGTAATGTTCCCCCTCCCCTTCCCTCTCCTCTTTTAAATCTTTTTAAAAATATTTTTTTTGTTACATTTTGAGTTCCAAACTGTCTCCTTCCCTCCCTCCCAACAATGCACTAGAGAAGGCCAACATTTAACACAGATATATATGTGAAACCATACAATTCATACTTCCCTATGTAAGTTCTTTCTCTGGAGATGGATAGCATCTTCCTTCTTAGGTCCTTTGTTGTTGATTTGAATACTCATTATTAGAATAACTTAATCATTCATAGTTACTCTTCGAGCAATACTGCTGTTAACTGTATACTATGTTCTCTTGGTTCTGATCATTTCAGTCTGCGTTATTTCATGTAAGTTTTTCCACGTTTTTCTAAAACCAACTTGTTCATTTCTTAAGTCATGGTAGTATTCCATCACAATTATACTCCACAACTTATTCAGCCACTCCTCAATTGATGGACATCCCCTCACTTTCCAGTTCTTTGCCACCACAAAGACAGCTGCTATAAATATTTTAGAACGTATCCCTTATCACCTTGGGAAACAGACCTAATAGTGGTATTGCTAGGTCAAAGGGTTTTATAACTCTTTGGGCATAATTCCAGATTACTCGCCAAAATGGGTGGATCAGTTCATAGTTCAACCAACGGTGTATTAATGTCCCAATTTTTCCACAGAATAATGTTTTTAAATGCATAAAATATCCATAGAATTACGAAGGAAACCAATTATACTGAAATAGTTATTAAAACATTTTATTTAGAAGTTCGTGGAAGCCAGGTCAAGAATCCCTGATTTACAGAGACATGGATACATCTGTGCTTAAGTAAAATCATACTGGCATCTGTGTGGAGGCTAGATTGACATGGGGAGAGACTTGAGGCAGGGAGAGCAATTAAGGTGGCCATTAATTAATTAATTAATAGTCCAGGCAAGTAGTGATGAGGCCTTGAAATAACAATGGTGATTCCATGTATAAAGACAAGGAATCAGATGGGGCATAAATTGTGAAGGTAGAAAGGGCAAGATTTGGCACCAGAGTGTCTATATCAGGTGAGAGAAAATAAGTAGAGGAGGGTAACCTGATTAAAAACCTGGAAGACTACCAGAATGATGATGCCTTCAATAAGGGAAAGAAAGAGATTAAGTGTTTATATTGTGCCTACTATGTGCCAGGCAGTATGCTAAGTGCTTTGTAAGTATTAGCTCATTTGATCCTCACAATAACCTTGTGAGGTTGGTGCTGTTACTGTCACGTTTTTACGGTTGAGGAAATATTCAACAACAATGGAGAAGCTCAGTAGAGGGTAGGGTTTGGGGGAGAACAAATAAATAGCAGAAATAAGATTCGTATGAAGGTCTTCTGCCTCCAAATGCCATAATTACCTTTTTCATTAAATCATACTGCCTCTTCTGTATCTAAAAATGTTGTGAACAGCCTCATGGGCACACCTCTCTGAAGGTTGGGAGTGGTTCTCATAGAAATAGAGCTGAAAGAGATCTTAGAAGTCACTAAGTACAACTCTCTTATTTTACAGATCCGGAAACTGAGGCATAGATGAGGTTAAGTGAATTCTGAGGCAGGATTTGATCTTCAGATCTTCTTTCTCCAAGTCCAGTGTGCTACTCTTAAGGTCACCCAGCTGCCTCAGGTAGCCAGGCATAGAATCCTGGGATCAGAATTGGGGCACAAGATGGAAACATAGTAGGACTGCTGAAAGGAATGCACTTGTTGCAAAGATAACTCCTTGACGGTTGCATTAGGAAGTGCCTGACCTTCTCTCTCTCTTGAGAAAGAGTGAGGAGGCTTTTGTCAGTTGTTTCCTCATGTCAATACCCAGACCACAATAAATAGGGGAGAGGTTGTGGGTTATGAGTATCTCCAATTCCCCTCAAGGAGTGAATTATTCACTGCAGTCAAATTTACCAACTAAGAGCTATATTCCAAAGTTATCTTCCTCTTTAAACTCAATGATAATCCAGAAGAAAGTAAATTTCTTTCACGGGGCAGGGACATTTTTGGTTTTGTCTTTATATACCCAGTACCAAGAACAATGCCTGGAATGTAGGAGGCACTTAATAAATGCCTGATGGAATAGATAGGATGGCAAGGCTTCAAAGCCTTCTTCCTAAATGGGAAGCTAGAACAAAGTGACATCTGGGTAGAGAGCCAATGTATACTTAACCTTGGAGATTGAGACAGATCTCTTCAAAAGGTGCAAAGAATTACACTTCTGGTGTGACTTGGTGATTGTAATTGTATGAAATATTGTAGTTATCCTTGCAATGTTTTAAGCCTTAATATATTGCCTGGTAGGAGTACTGTGTACTACAGTGCCTATAGCTCTGGAGAGGGGAATGGAGCTATGTTAAATAGGTCTGTTATTTACAGGAAGTTGATGCATGGAACCAGACCCAGACGCTAGTTTTATTAGAGTGGAGAAAGTCAGTTGGGTTGAGAAGTTGTGAAAGGTACCCTACCAAGTAGGGCCTGATCACTTTGTCATATGTGTCTTGATCTATCTCCTACACTGGATATAGGGGAGAATGG